AAAAATATCTACTGCGTTATCAGAGTTCCAAGGCTATTGTACCCAAAATGGTCTCACTATTGTTCTTTTGAGGATGTTTAGCTGGAGATTCAAAGACAACAAAGAGTCAACCCGAAGTTGCATAATCTCCTGAGAAATTTTCTTTCTGCAGAAAAGGATTACCATAAACCCCGCTGCATATTTATTCTTTCGATCATCCGCTGTATTTTCACCTTTAAACTGTGACCATGTCCCATGTCAAAAGACCTAAAATAAGGTGATTTTTTAAGGAACAAACAAGTAACTTGGATTTTCTCATTTCATCTGAAGTTTAAGGACCAGATATCCCAGTGGCGTAAATCAGTGTAACTCCACCAAATTCAGTGAAACTGTGCGGATCATCATCATCGACAAATCTGGACCCAAAATGTCTACACTAACACCCTCCCCATCTTTGTCTCAAAAACAGGGTTAAGAAGTTGTCAGCACCACACAGAGTATCGGTCCTTTACCTTCAAGGGGCCTTGCTGACAATATAACTGACCAAGGATAAAATTTTCAAAAGAGCGTAAGTGAGTAAGCCTGAGTCCCATTTTCCAAAGTGCCAAATACTTAGGAGACTAAATTGAAATCCAATGGCACCTGGACTCTTAAGTCACTTATACACTTTTGAAACTGTACCCCAGGTCAGATGCTGCAGCAAAACAGACTTCTACCTTCTCAGCCAATCCAATGCTGGAGGCAAATTTTGCCTTGACTTACATCTATACCACAGCATTAACTTTGATGGGGTTGCAGGAATAAAAATCAGGGTAGAATTTATCCCCAGGAGTTTCTGGATTGATGCCTCATTGTGGGAGAAAGAGAAGGCAAAATTAATTCCTTTTGTTAGTGCTAATACAATTCTTCAGTGACAGCCCCAAGACATTGAGTTCTATTTAGGGCAGACAGAATCCCAAACAATTTTTGTATCCAAACGTCTTCTCCAGCAGACCCCTTTCTATCACAAATTTTCTGGCAAAAAGAGCTTAGCTTGCCATCACTCTGTGAGCAGTGTTGGAGCTGATGAGAGGAATAGGAGTTAGAGAACTGTTGGGGAAAACAAAACTTGTCTCAGACTTGCAACTCTGGTTAAAACAGTAAGTTACAATATTGGTGAGCAGATGCCCATGTCCCCCAAGCGCTATGATGTTCAATGTACTGTAAAGGAGAACCTGAAGGATATGTTAGGGTGGACTGTTTGTTGATTCAAAATATTTCCTTCTTTTAAAAGCACTCCTCTGATGGAAGAGGCCCTTCTTAGCCCTGACATCCTGACGCTACACATGCAGCATGCACTCTGGGATGCCTGCATTCCATGTCACATTGGCTTGGGTTCTGCCAGTTCGTTTCCTTATGCCTGCAAACTCAATTGAACTTATGAAAATTCAAACAGTCTTCTGTCTGTTTCATACATCATCAGCAAACATAATTAGTAGACAAAATGAATTTGTTCTTTGTAATTTGGAGGCTATGCAAATGTTTCTACTGTATAGTGCAGAGGAGGGGATAAAGTTTGGTAAGCAAGGTTAATTCAGCATGGAGGAAAGTATGGAGACAGACAAATAAAGAAAGAATGTTTACAATAAAAATACTCAGTGAGGAGAGTGATATGGTACTTTTGCAAATTACAATTGGCCTTGATACCTTTGAGTGATGGAACAAAACAAACGCACAAGTGAGTTATGAAAGATCATCCCAGTGAGTGACTGTATCTCCACCCCAGGTGTTTTGTGCACACAAGGTGTTTGTTAATAATAACAATACTTAGCACTTCCAAGAGCTTCACAGACACTAACTAAATAATGTTCACATAGGTATGTCAGTATTAGCCACACTTTAAAATAGATATGAAAAGTGAGGTCCAGAGAGGTTAAGTGACTTGCTCAATGCCATGCGTGTCTGAATCAGGAAAAGAATACAGGATCTCTTGGCTATTAATCCTGTACTCAGACCACTAGGCTACATATTAGCTGAATTTTTTCAAGGCAGCACATACATTAAAAATGTACCTACTATATGCAATTCTTATAAGTCTTAGATAAGGGAAACATGGTTAAATTCCTAGACACTGCTTTGAAAATTTATCCCACACCCATATATGTTTTGGACAATTTTAGCTTATATGTATAGTATCTTTCCCTTGTGCAAAGATCTGACTCTGATTATTGTTCATGTTAAAGGAAAGCAAATACTCACCTGGAGCAGAGATTATTCTGCATAAAGGGCTTGATCCTACTAGGTGCTAGCCCTGATACACTAAAGTAGTTAAGCATGTGCTTAACATTAAGTATGGGAGTAATCCCTCTGACTTCAGTGAATAAATGTACAACGATAAGTATACACTTAAATACATTGCTGGATTGGACCCAGAGTGCTCAGCACATTGCAGGCTCAATCACACAGTCACCTCCTCTGAATAGCATGTCGCACTACCTTTAGAAAGCCCCTTTTTCAGGTGACTATCAGGCAGATCCTCAGCTGCATAAATGGGCATAAACTCCATGGAAGTCAACAGCATATATGATTTGCACCAGCTGAGGAGATGGCTTACATTCTGAACAATCAGATGATGTAGGGACATCACAGCCTGGGAATGATCTCTCCAGACTCCAAATTTAATTTTTTTTAAAAATAGGTAGTTCTCTATTTACAGGAAAGCCATTTTCTGGGATTAATCTCATCCCAGATCTCAGAAATTAGCAGGCACTGTTCACAATGAACCTCAGTAAGAAACAATGCAAGACTTCAAAGCATCTTTTCTTCTATGGCTAATCACCATGCATTTTAACTGTTTTGTGTTACTGACTACATGGACACTCAAATGTAACAGCAATATCCAGATTTCATTATTACGATTTGCATGCCCACCCATAAAAATCCCTCCACCATGCTCCTCACAGCGTAAGAATCATAAAGTACAATGATCCTGGTATATTTCAGAGGTGGGGCTGTATGCTGAGGCTACAGAACCTAGGAGCATTTAGGAGTTTACAGGCAAGATACTTTTGAAAAATGAATGATGGAAGTAAGTTGGAGATAAGATAATGCATGCCATAAAGCAGAGGTCCAGCTATGATGGTTTGATAGAGCACAAGGAAGGATGGAATTGTGCTGAGTCAGGATCCTGTGTCCCATTCCCAACTCTAGGACTGATTCGCTCTGTGACCTGGAGCAAGTCATTTAACCTTTGTGCCTCAGTTTCCCCATCATTAAAATGAAGATATTAATGTTCTGTTTTTTGCAGGTCTGTTCCATATTTACATTTAAAGTTGTTTTCCTCAACCACTGAGTCTCTGATCTGCTTACCAAGTGATATCGCCCAGCCCAGCTGGCAGTCAATCATCAGAGCCATATACTGCTAAATAGTATTTCGCCACACTGCTCCATCAAGGACCCAGTGACCACCTGTATCCCAAAGATCCAAAGAACCGGCCTTAATTCACTCTTAGATCTATTAAAATTTGGAAAGAAAATGTCTAATGCATTCGAAGCAAAATTCTCCTGATTATTATTTTATAATATACAGGGAATTACAAAAGGGCTTTTAGATTCAGTGTTCATACATTTCAAAGTCTTTCCCCCCAACCCATCCTCTCCGCCCCCCACAAAATGTTATGTCATTGGTACCACTAAATCTACTAGTACCTTAAACCTAGGTCATAGGCTCAGAATTACAGTGATGACCATGGTGGCCAGGGATACTGCTTGTGGTAGGAAGTTAAGAACTATGAGCAGAACATTTTAAACCCAACTCACTGGCCACAGTCTGCAGTTAATGCACAGTATTTAACAACACAATGGCATGCCCCTGCCAGTAATGTAAAAACGCAATGGATTAGTGCCAGAATGGCACAATCTGCCTCACTGACTCATGCCTGGCATTCCATTCCTGGAAGGGGTATTATGTACCCGCAGTATGCTGTACCCTTCAGCTAGTCTCCAAAGTAAATTCATTAGTGTTGAAAGGGGGTGAAAACCCCCTTATGTAACAGTTAAAACACTGAAACACTTTGTGCTATAAAACAAAGATATCACTTGGGAAGAATTCATAAACTTCTGGATTTCATTACCAAACTTACATTTTGATCTTAAATGAGAAAACAGATTGACTTTGCTTTGTAGTATTTCACAACCTTTTATTGCCCAACTAAAATCCCTTTTCCCCTATCATCTTTAAGATTTTGTTTTGTTTCTTTATTATTTTTAAACTCGGAGCATCTGAATCTTTTACACTGTCTGGTCATTCACTTGCCTGTTATTCATGCACTGAAATCCCAAGTATTAATTGTTCTCTCGAGTACATTGACAAAGCAGCTTCTAAATAAGAATAGACCAGAATGGATGTAGACTCTGACATGCATTTATGGACTAATGGGGCTCTTAGAGACAGCCTTATCTCTCGTTCGAAAACATAAGATATGCTATTTTGACTGTTTCCTAGCACAAGAGGGAACACACATACACACACACACACAGAAGAATTATGCATTTCTGATCACATCCAATGACCTCAGGCAGATGACTCCTGTTGTGATGTCACCAGAAACTTTCTCTTTCTTTTGATTTTTCTTATAACAAAGGACAAAAATGTCCTATGACATCACAAAGGAGAATGAATTATATTTCTGATGCTATCAGGAATCTTCTGCTACTTTCCATTATCCCTGCACCAAAGTGCAGGAATCCTTGGTGACAGGATGACAGGAAATGTATGTCAATTGGGACAAAGCTACACACCATTCCTAATAAAATTCGAAACAGCCAGTGGAAAGAATTGGCAATTTGGGGTCTGACATAAAACCTGGTAAAGATCCAGCACAACTTCCTTTAAAAAAATAAATAAATGTCATTTAAACTTGTAAATCCCATCCAAGGGCACTCTGACCTTTATCCATGTCCAGTTACTGTGCTAACACTTTTATTGTGTGCACTGTTTCAGAGAAATACTGACAAAAGGTACCGGAAAAGCTTTTACTTACAGGAATGCAGTGCAGCTTAATCTTTTTGTTTTTAAGGTGCAGTGATTTCAGCATCTAAAATGTAACTTCAGGCAGTCTGAAAAGAAACAGGTTAAAATCTCTTTCAGTTATAATTGGTATTTCAGATTTAATTAAAAATTAAACTTTCATAATGTTTCACCATCCAAAGCAATGCATTATCAGTCAAGCGTGGCCTTTTTTTTTTTTTTTTTTTTTTTTTTTGGGTTAAAAAAGGCTCTTCCCAGAGTAGTCTGTAATGAAGAAAGGGGGGGGGGGAAGCAATTCACAAAAGCAAAATATGCCTCTGCATTAAAGGATCTCAGAATTACATGGAAAGAAACCTCCTGCCCCTTAATTTTAACAATCTACCTTCTAAAAGGAAAACCAGGCATAACAATTAAAAATGACAGAAAGACAACATCACATACCGATGAGTGCGGAAAAAATGTTAATTTCAGCCAAATAAGGAAACTGTTAGGACCAGAATGTACAAACTGAAAGAGAAAATATGATTTTAAATAATGTTAGCCAAATATATTTTTAAAATCCGTTCGACAACACGTAGTACTGTCAGACAATTGCACAGAGGGGAAAAGAAAGACAGGCAAATTTAGAAAGAAGAAATGCGTTGTACAAGGTGTAAAAAGTACAGGGCTTCTATAGCCTTTTGCTAAAGGATACAAAATAGCTGATTTGGTTGTGAAGTTTTTTTATCTTGTAAAATCAATGCCCTTTTACTGTGAAAAACAGTAGATTACGAACTGATAGCTATAAACATTCATACCACTTGAACAGATGAAAAATCAAAAACAATTTTTATTTTTCAAATAACAGTTGGAATGACATTAAAAACTCCAAGGGTTACACCATTAGTCTGAGTATAAATGTTATAGGAGCATTTAAAAATCAATGGTTTTAATTCTATCCAAATGTAAAACCTCTGAAAACAGGAAAAAAGGGAAAACCCAGATATCCAAATGAGAAAATTAATACATTACAACAATTTGACATTAAGCTGCCAGGGTTTGGGATTCATAGTAACAAAAATTCATTTTTATATAGATAATGTTTTAATAAGAGGAAATAAAAACAAACAAGTACATATCTTGGTTAAAATATTTTATTTTGAAAATATGGCAGTGAAACTTTTAGAATGTACAAATTCACAGTCAAAGCCGTCCCCTTTATTAGCAAAACACAGAGAAAGTCCCAGGCTACAAACTTTGGATCTGAATCCAGATTCATATTTTGAACACCCCAGAGTTTTGGGGTTATTCAAATGTGGAGTTTTAATTCAGGCCTGTCTTTAATAGAAAATATGGATTTCTAGACACCATTAACACTGCTTTTAGAGCAGCTTAGTCCTTGAACCCACACAAGGGGAGAGGCAATTCTTGATTTAGTCCTAAGTTGAGCACAGGATCTGGTCCAAGAAGGCAATATAGCTGAATGGCTAAGTAATAGCAACCATAATGTAATTTAATTTAATATCCTTGTAGGGGGGAAGATAGATTCCCCTCTTCTGTGTAGTTGAAGGTAAGCTAGTTAAATGGAAATTAAAGGGAACAGTCACATGAGTGAAATACCTGCAAGGTGCATGGAAACCATTTAGAAACACCATAATAGAGGCTCCAACTAAATGTATATAACAAATAAAAAAAACTGTCAGAGGACCAAAAAAATGCCACCATGGATAAACAACAAAGTAAAAGAAGCAGATAGAGGCAAAAAGACATAATTTGAAAATTGGAAGTCAAATCCTACTAAGGAAAACAGAAAGGAGCATAAACTCTGAAAGGTCAAGTATAATTAGGCATGACACAAAAGAATTTGAAAAGCAAGTAGCAAAGGACTCAAAAAATAACAGCAAAATTGTTTTAAGTACATCAGAAGCAGGAACCTGCCAAACAATCAGTGAGGCACTAGCCAATCAAGGTGCTAAAGGAGCACTCAAGGAAGACAAGGCTATTGCAGAGAAGCTAAATGAATTCTTTCCATCAGTCTTTACTGCAGAGGATGAGAGGGAGAATATTGTTAGGTGACAATAAGAAGTCACCAGGACCAGATGGTATTCACCCAAGAGTTCTGAAGGAACTCAAATATGAAATTGCAGAAGTACTAATTGTGGTATGTAACCTCTCGCTTAAAACAGCTTCTGTACCTGATGACTGAAGCATAGCTGACGTAATGGCAAAGTTTGCAGAACGTCTGGAAAAGAGATGACTAAAGGGGGATACAACAGAGGACTATAATAAAGTCATGAATGGTGTACAGAAAGGGAAAAGGGAAGTGTTATTTATCCCTTCACATAACACAAGAGCCAGGGGTCACCCAATGAAATTAATAGGCAGCAGGTTTAAAACAAACATAAGGAAGTACTTCTTTACCCAATGTACAGTCAACCTGTGGAGCTCGTTGCCAGATAATGTGAAGGCCAGAAGTAAAACTGTGGTAAAAAAAAAATTAGATAATGTCATCTATCAGTGGCTATTAGTCAAGATGTTCAGGGATGCAATCCCATCCTCTGGGTGTTCCTAAACCTCCAACTGCCAGAAGCTGGGACTGGAAGATGGGGGATGGATGACTCGAAAATTACTCTATTCTATTCATTCCCTCTGAAGCATCTGGCACTGGTCACTATCAGAAGAAAGGATTCTGGGCTAGATGGACCACGGGTCTGACCTAGGATGGGCATTCTTATGTTCTCATGGATCTCTCCAGTCCTCATTATTACAAAACAGGAAAGAGAGATGGATTCTCTCTCTCTCTCTTGGGATTGTGGAAGCTTCTGAGAGCGAGGCTGAGTTTGTTATGTGCTCTATGCACTAGCCAGGTTTCTGTTAGGCTGTGTATGGTTTGGTTTGTTACTTGCTGTTTCTTTACCTTAGGGGTGTTATTGGTCCCCCATTTCCTTTTCCTTGCAGGAGTTGGTGTGGTTCTCCGCCTCAGAGGGGTTTAGCAGTTTAATCCACAAGCATGGGATTCAGTGTATACTTCCTGTCTCCTACACTGTGCAGGATGTGTTGCTGAGTGTAGTTAAGATTATTGCCTGTGCTAATATAAAATCTGCCTCTTGAATGAGCAAATCTACAGTAATTTTCCTGGCCCAAGAGTAGATCGTTTAGTAAAGGAGAGACTCTGAGTCAAGGAGGCTTTTATTCAAATTTTTCCCTGGTTTACTCCTGCTACTAAAGTACCAATGTCCCCCCTTCCTTCACAGTGAGACACCAGTGTCTGATCTCTCTTGATGTGAAGGTATTTCCTGCTCTTAGGATGATTCCATTAGTGTGCAAGAACCCAAATGTGGGGCATGTTATGTCGTTACAGTACCAGATTCATTTGGTCCTAAATACCCCTGTACAGCCCTTGAATTACGTTTTAAAGCATCACATAGATGGCATAGATTTTACAGTATTCGTTACCTTTGAAAATGTGAAATGTTTCCTATGTGGTGACCCTGATCTTGCCCATGCACTGCTGGCTTGGGGGACCCTGGTAAGAATGTGGGATCCCAGGATAGTGGGGGAGGTTGGGACATCAAGGGGCATCTGTACTGCCAGATTCTGTCTCCCTCCACCATCGCCATATGTGTCTGCTATCCTCTAGAGAAAAGCCTCCCCACCACAGGTGCCCTCTATCGTGACCCCATCACTTGTACCTGGACAAAAGCGAGTCCTGGAGTTTGCAGTGCACCTCCCTGCAGAGGAAGCAGAGAGAGGTTCTAGAGATGGGGGTGAAGAACAGATCGATGAGATGGATTTATGCAGCACTGTTTCTAAAAGGACTAAGACTTCGGCGGCCTCTGAGCTGCTGGCAGTGGCTGAGGATGGAGCGGTGTGCCCTGCGAAGGAGACTAGTGTTGTGTTGGGTGACAGCTCCATGCCTGGTGTTTCCAGTGGGATACTGTCCTCTTCTGGCATGGTGAGTCCTCAAGCCCCAATCCTGTATGCTGCAGGGATGATGCTGAGTCCCAGCCCACTGCCTACCCCTCTTGAGAATATAGATATGCTGGCTGCCCGCACTGAATCTTTCTCCCTTGTGAATTATGAGAATGTGACAATAGTGGCTCAATGTTCTTCTGACCCGGTGGAGTCTTAGGGAGATGAAGAGGATGATGATAATCTCTCTAACTCCTCACTGGTTCCTGATGTCCCAGCCAGTCAGCTAGATAGGAAGGGGGGGTATGGTGTGAAGGAGATTAATGACGTTTTTGGATAGCTCTAAAAAGGAAGTGGGGAGTTGATTTACAGCACTTTATTCCTTCAGCTGCCCTTGTCTTGAGAGATAACTCAGTTGGTTGTAGGAAACATTTCTGTTTCAAAAAGTTGTTGATCAAGGTGGGGATTGTTCAAGATACACCGCCATCACCGTGACTTGTTTTGTTCACAGTATTTCCACTTTCTATTGTCTCCCTCTGCTGCTTGGCTCTCTTTCTAGTCTCTGTGGTGCTGCTCACCTTTGGCTCTCAATACTAATGGCTGCCAGGAGAGACACACTCAGACCTTGATAATCAGGGGATCTGGTTAAAGGAACGGGAAGGGGAAACTTTCTTGAGCCATAGATTCAATGTCACAGCTGCAGGAGCTGTTTTCTTTCCCCGGGATGCAGGGACACAGATCTTCTCTGTGAAGGAGACTGTGCAGGGCCAGCTCCTCCAGGTGAAGACACATATTGACACTACTCTTTTTAATCTTTTTACTGTGTATGCTCCTATTCTGGGGCGAGATCGTGTCTCCTTTCTGTAGACTCTTGTCCATGCCATGCTTGGCTGTGACCCTGATAGTAATACTGTCCTGGGAAGGGATTTCAGTTGCACTGTAGATTATGTTTTAGACAAGAACCAGGAAGAACTACACCCTCAGTCAGCCAGGGAACTGTGTTGTCTCCTGAAGAACTTTGGGCTAGCAGATGTTTGGAGGTACTCTCACCCCAGTATTAGGTAGCACTCTTGGCTGAAGGCTGCTCCCAAGGAGGTCTCCAGGGCTAGACTGGATCACTTTTATACCAGGAAGGCCAGTGTGGTCTTCCCTGTCTCTGATCATCATTATGCTTCTGTCAATGTGTCTCTCCTTCTTC